GCTACCACGCCTGGCTAATTTTTTGATTTATTGTAGAGATGAGGTCTCGCCAAATTGCCCAGGCGGGTCTCGAACCCACGGGTTCAGGCAATCCGCTCACCTCAACCTCCCAAGGCGCGGGATTACAGGCTGAGCCACCGAGCCTGGCTGTAATTTTTTGATTTACTGTAGAGACAACATTTTGCCATGTTTCCCAGGCTAGTCTCGAACCCCTGGGCTCAGACAATCCTCTTGCCTTGGCTTCCCAAAGTGCTGGTATTAGCATGAGCCACAATGCCCAGCACATTTTTTTACTCTTAACACTATTCAATAAAGGCCTATTAGTTGTAAAATGGAATCACTTTATTGCTTGTAATTAACAATAACCAAATGTTAGTTCCTTTATGGTTTTTATGCCTCAAAGATGTTGTGTCAGCCGGTGCAGTGGCTCCTGCCTATAATCTCAGCACTTTGGGAGGCGGAGGTGCAAGTACTGCCTGAGCCCATGGGTTCGAGACCAGACTGGGCAACTTGGCGAAACCTTGTCTCTACAATAAATCAAAAAATTAGCCATGCATGGTGGCACACACCTGGTTCCAGCCACTTGGAATGATCGCCTGAACCTAGCGGGTTGAGGCTGCAGAAGCCATGAGTGTGCCACCGCACTCCATCCTGGGCAACAGAGTGAGACTCACTCCAAAAAAAAAAAAAGAAAGAAAAAGAGAAAATTTTGTGTGTACAATAAAAGAAAACACTTGTTGATGAGACTCAAATATAAAGATACATTTATTTTCAATAACAAAAACAATACAAGGTAGAAGTAATTCACTAATTTTTAAACGTAACACAATCCTTAGTACTAACTATACTCAATAAATAAAACACATTACTATTGACAGAGTAGGATTATTCTTGAGACTCTCTAGGGTTGTGTGTGCTTCAAACAAAACTGAGTGGTAGGTAAATAAACAAACTAGAGACTTGACTAAAAAGGGCTCAAAGAAAAGAACAGCCAAGGAACAGGGTCCCCAGATACTAAGTTACCAAAATAATGAATACGAGATTTTCAAAGGAGTCCAGAAATCAGAGCTCACTGGGGGAATACAAGGGTTTAGGATAATCCATGTTCAAGGCCTTGCAATTAAATCTTCTCATATTTTTGAATTCTATCACAATCTAGAGAAGCTTCTGCCAAAGGACAGGAGATTATTTATACTGCCTAAAAAGACCTATGCCTCCTAATTTTTCTCCTTTGACTCTGTCACTAGCTCCTGTCACCAATACAGCAAAGGTTCCATTTGAGCAAAGTATTACTACATGTGAGACAAACTCCTCTCTGGTTTAGGATTTTCCATTCATTGACACATTGATACTTGCCAGGAATAGCTCTACATATCTGCAATTTCTTTTATTTTTATCTTCCTATACAACTCTGCTTGGCTACAGAATCTAGGACTCAGAAAAACAGAGCATTGGTCAAAAGATAAGTGTCAGTTTCAATGTTCTAACGTGTAATGGTAACAATCTATTTTTTTTCTTTAACCATCTCATCTGCCACGACTTTTTTCTCTTCTCATTATCTTGCCAATTATTTCTTTCGAAATTCAATCCTCCGAGCTACATTCTGAGCACCAAATTTTTTGACCAATGCATCTCTGGTATCCTTATCATCTTTTTGCAAATCTATGTCATCCTGTCGGGACCAAATGGGGTATCCATCAGTTCTCTGGCCAGATGCTAAAAAGGAGGACGTGGCCTCCAGCTCACCACTATTTTTTAGGAAGGCCTGTGTAACAGTTGATAGATCCAAGTTAAATTTTTCCATTAACTGCCGGATGATCTTGATGGCAGCTCCCACCTCTTGTGGAGAAACTTTTTCTTCTTCTTCTTCATCAGGCTGTGTTTCTGAGTCTTCCTCAGGAGTAGGTGGATCATCATCACACATTGTTATATGTATTTCAAAATCAGGGCTCTCATCCACCTAGAGACAATGATGAGTAAGACCAGTTCCTAGTTACCAGGTCTTGAACTCTTTCAATATCTGGCTTCTTCCAATCACCCCCACTAGTCCTTTTCACTTCAATCACACTGGACTTCTTTAGTTCCCCTAATATGCTGTGTTCCTTCTTACTGTTTCTTCTTCTGCTTATTCATGTTGGATGTATATGTGTACGTATATGTGTGTGTATATGTGTGCATCCATGTGTATACCACTGATTATAGTATTCCAACAGAGTATCAGAAGCTACATTGAATATAGAAAAAATATTCAATGTACACACACATATACACACATATATAATATGTATATATAGAGAGAACTACATACACATATGCGTACATGTGTTCATTAGATTGTTTGACTTCACTCCCAGAAAGTTTCTAAGGACAGAAATTGTATGTTTTGCTTATTGCTGCATCTCCACTGCCTACCAATGCCTACACATAGTAAGTACTGAAAAAATATTGCTGTATGAATATATTACAACATCCAAGTTATATCACATTAGGCACATTATAAAGCACACTATATAAGAGACCTATGTAGGCCAGGTTTGGGGGTTGAGTATTATAGAAATGAACCAAATATCAGATAATAACACAAAACACAGACTAGAAGAGGCAACAATCCCTAAATTCTGCCAATTCCTGTGCATTCCTTTACACACTAATTACAGAAACTCTAAATCATTTACCTCTTTTAGACTGAAGCCTAACTATTTTATTTTTTTATTTTTTGAGTTAGAGTCTCACTCTGTCACCCAGGCTGGAGTGCAGTGGCACGCCCACAGCCACCACAGCCTCGACCTGTTAGGCATAGGCAACCTTTCCACCTCAGCCTTCCAAGTAACTGGAACTACAGGTGCACACTATCACACCTGGCTTATTTTTTGATTTATTATAGAGAGGAGGTCTCACCACGTTGCCCAGGCTGGTCTCGAACCCTCGGGCTAAGGCAATCCTCTCACCTCAGGCTCCCAAAGTGCTGGGATTACAGGCTGAGCAACTGCACCCAGCCTTTCTTTATACTAATAAGAAAAGTTAATTGGCAGGCAGGGCACAGTAGCTCACACCTATAATCCCAGCACTTTGGGAAGCAGAGGCAAGTGGATTGCCTGAGCCCGCATGTTTGAGACCAGCCTGGGCAACATGGCGAGACCTCGTCTCTACAATAAATAAAACAATTAGCTGGGTGTGGTGGCACATGTCTATAATTTCAGCTACTTGGAAGGCTGAGGTGGAAGATCACCTGATCCCAGCATGTCGAGGCTGCAGTGGCCATGAGTGTGCCACTACACTGTAGCCTGAGTGACAAAGTGAAACTCCAACTCAAAAAAAAAAAAAAAGAAAAGTTAATTCACAAGATCCTTTTTCATGGAGAAAATATATACATATAACGTGGACTTCCAAAAACATCATCATCATTATTTTGTAACTCTTGTCTTTCTCTGTAGCTATTATTAAATATGGAATTCTGACAGAGTATTAGAAGCTAGACTGAATATGGAAGAGCTAAAACATTCCAAAAATGCACTAAGTACACAAAAAGCTAAACAGGCTTGATAAAAGAATTACTATAAACTTTTTATTTTATTTTATTTTGAGTCAGAGTCCCACTTCGTTGCCCAGGCTGTAGAGCAGCGGCATGCTCACGGCCACTGCAGCCTCAACCTGCTGGGCTCAGGCGATCCTTTAACCTCAGCCTTCCAAGTAGCTGAAACTACAGGAGTGTACCACCACACCCAGCTACTTTTTTGGTTTATTGTAGAGATGAGGTCTTGCCAAGGTGCCCAGGCTGGTCTCGAACCCGTGGGCTCAGGCAATCTTCTTGCCTCTGTCTCCCAGAGTGATGGGATTATAGGCGTGAACCACTGTGCCCAGCTACTACAAACTTTTTAAAAATTACCCAGGCTCAGTGGCTCAGCCTATAATCCCAGCACTTTGGAAGGCCAAGGTGAGTGGATTGCCTGAGCCCGTGGGTTCAAGACCTGCTTGGGAAACTTGGTGAGACCTGTCTCTACAATAAATCAAAAATTAACTGGGTGTGGCAGTGCGTGCCTGTAGTTTCAGCTACTTGGAAGGCTGAGGTGGAAGGATCGCCGGAGCCCAGCACGTCGAGGCTGCGGTGGCTGCGAGTGTGCCACTGCACTCCAGCCTGGGCTACGGAATGAGACTCCAACTCAAAAATAAAAAATAAAATAAAAATTACATTTATGTTTCTGAGAAGCACAAAAACATTTTTAAAAGACTACCTAGTCTTACCTTTGAAAAATATACTGAATCAAAGTACTCAAAATGGGATGCTTTAATGCCACTTATATATAACTGTCCTTATTCTACTCAATTTTCCTCTTACTCCCCCTCAACTTGTCCTGTCAAAAACTAAAGCTTTGTGATGCACAGCTAAGGGGAAACACGCCCAAAGCCTAGATCAGTCCCACTTTCTATTTTCCTCTTGCACTCTGAACTTCTCTCTTACCTTTCTGGGCCTCAGGTAGTTGAAAAGGTGATGGGAAAACCAGTTTCATCTCCCTCCCCTCTACTCCCTTTTCTACGGTACACTAGTTTTCAAGAATACTGAAGGTGGGGGAAAATGAGTAATCCTAGTTAACATACCGCAACTTCCTCAAACTCCCGGGTGGCATGTATAAGCATCTTTTTGACTGCTTCTTCATCCTCCTTGATTTCTTCCTTCACATATTCTTCTTCAGGCAAATCTGGAGTTCGCTTGTTCTGTGGTTCTATTAAAGAACAGCAGAGAATAGCATTAATATAAACCAAAAATACAAAACATGCTGTGTGAGCTCTGGGCCAGGAGTGAGCCTGCACTTTCCAAATGGTGACGGTATTCCTAGGCTCTGACATATAAAAAATACTCTTCAAGTCTAATTCATTCTTTGCTTTGAATTTAAAGATTTTGCAAATTAACAAAAACATGTCATAAATTGGGTTCTCTGAGAAGATTACAAGATGGAGATTAACATTTAATGGGAGAGCTCTTAGAAAAACATTTGTGGAAGAAAGGAAAGCAGAAGTGGATAGAGAGAGAAGATGATTTGTGACAGAGTTCCAACAAGTCCTCAGTCAAAAATATAGGGAATTTTGGATCTAGGCAGGCCCTTCAGAGTTGACCAAGCTGGGGCAAAGAAGCAGAGCCTCTATAACTCCACACAGATCTGCCACTGGATGCAGCAGCCCTAAGAAGATAGAACTTTTGGCAAGGGAACTCTCCCAGCAGTTGAAGGCAGATCTGAGCAGTATAACCACAATCCACCACATACCATCTATAAAAAGGTAGCCTACTGAATTTAAACATCCTCTTGTTTCCCCTTTACATTTTGTTCTCTTAAGACTTAACTGTGTTTCTTTTCTCTTTACTAAAATTACTACAAAGTGGCAGCAAGAGGGAGTTTTCTGTGATGGAACTGTTCTATATTCTGATTTTGGTGATGATGACACAAATTTACATGTGTTAAAACACACATAACTGGAAAACAGTATGACAATTTCTCAAAAACGCAAATATAGCTTTACCATGATGACTCACAAGGAAAAAAGGAAGAAGAAAATTAAACATAAAATTACCATATGGTCCAGCAATTGACTTCTAGGCATATTCTTAAGAACTGAAAGCAGAGTTGCAGATATATACTAATATACCAATGTTCTTAGCAGCGTTATTCACAACAGACAAAAGATGGAAACACTCCAAATGTCCACTGATAGGTGACTGGATTAACAAATGTGGTATATACATACAATAGAATATTATTCAGTTGTAAGAAGGAATAAATTCTGACACATGCTACAACATGGATGAACTTTGAGGATATGCTAAGTGAAATAAGCCAGATACACCTTTTTTTTTTTTTTTTTTTTTTTTAGTTGGAGTCTCACTTCCTTTCCCAGGCTGGAGTGCAATGGCACGCTCACAGTCACCCCAGCATCAACCTGCTGGGCTCCAGCTGTCCTTCCACCTCAACCTTCCAAGAAGCCAGAACTACAGGCGTGCACTACCATGCCTGGCTAATTTTTAGATTTACTGTAGAGATGAAGTCTCACCAAGTTGCCCGGGCTGGTTTCGAACCCACAGGTTCAATAAGCCAGATACAAAAGAAAAAATATTATATGAGATACCTAGAGAGATTAAATTCACAGAGACAGAAAGTAGAATAGTGGCTGCCAGGAGTTTGGGGGAGGAAGAAATATGGAGTTAGTATTTAATGGGCATAGGTTTTCAGTTCTGGAAAATGAATGAGTTTTAGAGATGGATAGTGGTAATGGTTGCATAACAATGTGAATGTACTTAATGCTACTGAACACTTATAAAACAATAAAAATGGTAAATTTTGTTATATGTATTTTGCTGCAATAAAAGTAAGTTTTAAAAACAAATGCAGGCCAGGCTCGGTGGCTCAGCCTGTAATCCCACGCTTTGGGAGGCCGAAGTGAGTGGATTGCCTGAGCCCGTGGGTTCGAGACCCGCCTGGGCAACTTGGCAAGCCCTCATCTCTACAATAAAATCAAAAAATTAGCCAGGCATGGTAGCACACCTGTAGTTCCAGCTACTTGGAAGGCTGAGGCAGAAGAATCGCTGGAGCCCAGCACATCGAGGCTGCAGTGGCCGGGAACGGCCACTGCACTCCAGTCTGAGCGACAGAGTGAGACTCCAACTCAAAAAACAAAACAAAACAAAACAAAAACAAATGAAATCATATACTGTAAAAGGTCTTTTTACTACATATACTTTTTTTTTTTAAAGATGTGGGGTACAATTCAGGGTTAGGTATACAAACGTACATTATGCAGGTATCCTTGTTGATGAGGTGTGCCCCTTCCTCCCCTGACAGTTTCTCACAACTGCCAAAGAAATTTTTAAAATAGCACCTGGGCAGGGTTGTAGTCCCAACACTTTGGGAGAAGGAGACAACAGGACTGTCTGAGTCCACGGGTTTGAGACCTGCCTGGGTAATATGGCAAGACCTTGTCGCTACAAGAAATAAAAAAAAATTAGCTGGGCGTGGTGCTGCCACTACTTGAAAGGCTGAGGTGGAAGGACTGCCTGAACCCAGCAGGTCAAGGCTGCAGTAGTCATGCGCATGCCACTGCACTCCAGCCTGGGCAACAGAATGAGACTCCTACTTTAAAAAAAAATAGTGGCTGGGCTCGATGGATCAGCCTGTAATCCCAGCACTTTGGGAGGCCAAGGCGAGTGGATTGCCTGAGCCTGTGAGTTGGAAACAGCCTGGGCAACTTGTTGAGACCTCGTCTCTACAATTAATCAAAAAATTAACCAGGTGTGGTAGTGTGTACCTGTAGTTCCGGCTACTTGGAAGGCTGAGCCCAGCAGGTCGACGCTGGGGTGGCTAAGATCATGCCACTGCATTCCAGCCTGGGTGACAGAATGAGACTCCAATACAAAAAATAAAATAGTAACTGAAAAAGAAGTCTTATCTTTTTGAGATATGTACTAAAATAGATAAATGATATGATGGCATTTGTTTCATGATAACCCAAGTAAGTCAGAATAAAAGGTATAGATGGAAAAAACTGGCTATGAAGTATAACCAGATGAAGTTGGGTGATGGGTACATGCTGTGTAGTTCATTATAATATTCTATTTTTGTAAATGTTGGGAATTCTCGATAATAAAAAGTAAACAAATTATGTTTCATTCACATAATGGAATACAATGCAATCACTGAAAAAGAATGAGGCAAAGAAAGCTATATGCAGATATATAAAAACTTCAAGATAAATCATTAAGTTTTTTAAAAAAACAACTGCAGAACAAATTGATGTCTAGTATGCTAGTATTACAATGAGCAAAGGGAACCTATAATAGACAAGGGATGTTAATAGTGGTTGCCTCTAGGAAAGGGGTGTATAACAGGGAGACTGATTCACTACATACTCTTTTGTACTCTGTATCTATAGGATAAATTCCTAAAAGCAAAATTGCCATGTTTAAGGTAATATACATTATAAATGTTGTTAGACATTGTTAAAATGCCTCCCAAAGCAATTGTACCAATTTCCTTCTATTAACAACATAGGAGTGTAGTTGTTTTCCTGTATCTCACTAACTCTAAATATTACCCATTTGTGTTCATTTTTGTCAATCTTATAGATAAAATGACATTTCCTTGCACTAGTTTACTTTTTTAAAAATATCTTCCTTTATCTTCTTTCACATGTTGATTAGGTTATTTTCATTTTCTTTATTTATTATTTTTATTTTTTGAGTTGGAGTCTCACTCTGTCACCCAGACTGCAGTGCAGTGGCCGCTTCTGGTCACCGCAGCTTCGACCTGCTGGGCTCCGGCGATCCTTCTGCCTCAGCCTTCCAAGTAG